ACGTTACTATTACGTCATTCCCAGTCCTTCCTTTCTCTAGACCCAATTTCTGCAACCATTCTTCATTCGTTTTTGTCTCCGGGATTTTAATAGTCTTACTTGCTATTGTAACACAGTCCTAGGTTGCATCAATTAAGGGAGATCGCGAGAACTGGTGTAGTACCACTTTATAGCGCACTAGAGAGGCCAATCGTGGGATAGACTGTGTCCAAGTTCTGGTCACCATGATACAAAAAAAGATGCATATTTAATCAAATGTTTGATTATATAAAGAAGCCAATCATCAGTGATCACAGATCAGCGTTGTCTTCATTTGGCTGGTTTGTTCTGGCCTGGAGGGGGCTGATGGAGTAGAGCAGTGTTTCCCAACCTTGGCAACTTGAAGATGTCCGGACTTCAACTCCCAGAATTGAAGTCCAGACATCTTCAAGTTGCCAAGGTTGGGAAACACTGGAGTAAAGAATTCTCCTCCTCCTCCTCCTCCTCCTCCTCCTATGGGCACATAAGTGAACCAATCAATACTCGGCTCCTAAACTAATGCAACCCCTGGTGCTCCCTGCCCCTCCCTCTTCTTTCCCTGACAGGCGATTTGAGCGAAGACCCCCAGTTCCCCAAAGTGCAGTGGCCCACCCTGGCCCTTTGCCCCGCGTGCCACAAGACGACCCAAGGGCCCGCTGCCTGGGACAAGACGCAGGTGCTCCAGTTCCTGAAACAGCATTATGGCAGCCACAACCTCGTCCACACCTACCTCGAAGAAGCCGACAACGCCGAAGGACAAGAGACACAAGATGGAGGAGAAGGATTTCCAAAGGAAGCCGCTCCGGAGGCCAACAAGGGCCGAGATCCACAAGAGTCCTTGGGCTCCAAGTCCAAAGGCTTGGACCACGGGAGAGCCAAGGAGGACTCCGTGATCGATCCAGGGAAAAGGCCGGGTGGCTCAGTGGTAGAGCAGGAAAGGAAGCAGGCGGTGTCGTTCCTGGGAGTGGGCTTCTCCAGTATCGACATGAGCCTCTGCGTCGTCCTCTACGTAGCGTCGTCTTTATTTTTAATGATCATGTTCTTTTTCTTCCGCGTGAGATCCAGGCGCTGGAAAGTGAGACACAACCGTCCCCACGTATAACGGATCCATCGGAAATCATGTTTCAGCCTGGAAACGGCTCTCTCCTGCTCGCCTGCCACTCGGGTAGCAGGGAATCAGGGATTTTTTCTCTCTCTCTCTTTTTTACAGCGCAATGTTTTAAATTTCACGAGACCGTGCCATTGTTCCTCATTCACTGTTGAACTGCTTCTCTGCTGTTGGACACTTTGAATTTGGAACGGTGTAGAAAAAGGTGTTTTTTTCTGAAGAAATTAAAACGGTTCCGGTGATGTTTTTCCTGGGGTTACCTTGTGTGCTGTGGTTTGTGAAATGGTTCAAGAAAATCAGGGTGCTTGGAGGGTGTTAAACAGGTGCTTATAACAGCAACCAAATTTGGGTGGAAACATTTAGATGACCACTATAGAATAAAATCCAACTGGGTGTTTAAAAACTTTAAAAGAGCTGATTTTAACAAACTCGGAGACAGCCTAAGAAAAATTCTACGTATAAAAAAAAACTAAACGGGGAAACAACTCTAGAAGCACGGGAAACTCTGAAAAATATGATCCTAAAAGCCCAGTTCAACACAATGCCACTGTAAAAGAAGAACAAGAAATCCAAGAAGAAGCCAGCATGATTGCACAAAGATCTTTCTGACAGGCTGAAAGACAAAAAGTTTAAGTACAAAAAATAGAAAGAGGGACATATAACTAAGGCAGAATATTGGCAGATAGCCTGAATTTGCAAAGACAAAGTCAGGAAAGCAAAAGCTCAGAATGAACAAATACTTGCAAGGAAAGTCAAAAGATAATTTTTAAAAAGTTTCTTTCAACATATAAAAAGAAAAAAGTCAAGGGAACAGTCGGTTCACTAAAGAGAGAAGATGGCCCAGGAAGTATCAGGCAATAGAGAGAAAGCAGAGCTGCTTAACTCATTCTTTGCACAAAGAATTGCACACAAAAAGAATCTATAGCCCAACCTACCAAAATCATAATTGTAAAGGACAGGCTAGAAATAAAAAATTAAAATAAACAAGAAAACGGTAAAAAAAAAGAACACCTGTCTGATCTTGATGAATATAAATCACCGAGACCTGATGGATTACATCCCAGAGTTATGAAGGAGCTGGCAAATGTTATCAAAGAACCCTTGTACCATATCTTTAAAAAAAAAATCCTGGAGCACCAGGGAAACTACCAGAAGATTGGAAAAGAGCTGGTGTGATTTCCATCTCCAAAAATAGCAGTTATACTTATATACCGCTTCATAGGGCTTTCAGCCCTCTCTAAGCGGTTTACAGAGTCAGCATATTGTTATTCCTGCATCCCGACTCAACTCACAGCAAACTTCTGCTGAGTCGCAACATG